GGAATATTTATGTACAGACAAATAGGTTTATTTTTTATTTTTTTGTTTGCCCGCTTGTATGAAAGTCACATATCAGAAAGACTAATATAACCCAATTAGAGTCAACAATTTTTAACATTTGATTTGAATATATGGAGAAAGTTTGCTCTCTCTTGCCCTATACAGAGTTGGTTTTCCTAAGTATTCATTTGACAATTAGCATACTCACCTGCTCTACCTGGGCGTAGAAGTACTTTCTTCATAAACTGCATATTTGAGACGTTTCAGTTGATTTTCATACTTCTTAAAAGATAAAACTGTACCATCACCCAGCTTTGCACAAACCGACCAATGACTACCTCACGTTGCGTTGTATGCACCAAAAACAGGGAAAGGTCTGCTGCAAGCTCATAAGAAAATGCCACGGCGAAAAATGAAAACTTGAATCCTGTTTCTAATATATTTAGGTGTTTTAATCTAGGTTTCGGGTGCTTGGTCAGGGTAGGCAACTTCTGCCATGTCCGGCTAATAGATCAGCTCTTCACTTCGACTCTACTTCCAACGAAGTCTCTGCCCATCACGACGCGTGGCTGGCAATACGAACGGGTGGCATCGAAACTAACCCTAAGAGTGAACCAGAACTGGCTACTTCAATCTCAACGGTAGCCGTTAATGGAAGCATGAGATTGAAAATCTTCGATGTTCGACTTTCTTATCATTTGATGCCAAAAGTTTTTAATTTATTTATTTGCTTCCTTTCGGTCAATTGAATACCGCCTAGAAGATCCGATTTCAAAACTTTTATCCGCCGACCACAAAACATTAAACACTCGAGATCGACACAAAATCACACACTATCCCTTTCCCTGTAGGTGCCCATGCAAAAAATAAAAAAATAAAAATATGCCGAACCGAATATTTTCTTTATTGCCTTCTATTTTCACTGTTAGACTCAATAAACAAAATAAATAACAATTTTGGAAATTAAGAAAAAATAATGTTGACATAACATATCACAATACAATCAAAAGCAATCTTTTTGAATTAATTAAAACTAAACACTCCTAATGCCATCTAATGACAAATATACGACGTTATCTTAGCCAATAAATTATTAGCAAACGAACATTGTTTTATGAAGTAGCCTTACGCTTTTACTCTTCTATGATCAGTAGTGAGGTCGCGGACAGGAGAGAATTAAAGATGGCGTTTTTTTTAACACGTATCGAATAGCTAATATCTATCAACAGAAATCATTTCTATTCCTCGCTTTTGCACGCCCCCTCCCATCATATGATTATGAATGAATAGAAGCGTATTCGTTTTCCTACAAAATATGCGATATTCGTGTCGTGTACAACAAAGAAAGAAAAAAAAATATATTGATGTAATGGTGACTGAAATTGCTCTTCTTAGGACAATGAAGAACTCTTCACACTAAGACAAAATGTCAAAGAGTGTATTCTTTGAGATGGTGCGTTGGTGAAGTAATTTCAATCTACATTATGGAACTGAGGACAGTTTGAAAGTTGAGATAAGTTAACCACTAAAAAAACATTCTTTCTCAATCATACACACGCACACACGATATATATATATATATATATATATATATATATATATATATATATATATATATATATATATATATATATATATATATATATACATTGGGTTGGTGCATAATTATCAGGCGTTTTTTAAACAGTATTTATTATGAAAAAAGAAATATAACAATTCAACAATAACATTTTTAAATAATTATTCTGGAGCGTATGTTATCGACACGCATATTTTTATAACATGAAATGAAAATATTTTTATTAAGAAAAGTAAACAAAATTGCAATTTTTATTAACAAATAACACACATACAAAAACGCCTGATAATTATGCACCAACCCAGTGTGTGTGTGTGTGTGTGTGTGTGTGTGTGTGTGTGTGTGTGTGTGTGTGTGTTAGTAGGCTATAGAACAATATCCGAACAAAACAAGAGATAATGTGACAAAACAGAAAAGCTTGTTCAGACAGGACAACGCGTTTCACGTCTTCATGTAGGAATGAGAGACAAATCAATTTCTAAAGAAAGACTGTTGAAATTTTCTAAGAAAAAGTAATAAATAACCTTATCAGATGCCCACTCCTAGAAAGTGTTTGTTTTTTTCCTTTCTTATTGTAGTCGTTAATGTTGATGGACACGAAATTAACCCACTCTAATTCGATCTCCGAATTTTATCTATTATTTTGTATACCTTATTGTGTTACTATTGTTTTGCGATGATTGATAATATTTTATATTACACACACACACACGCACTTTTTAATAATAAAAAGCTTTAATAATAAAAAAAAGAAAAAGCCAACTCTTAACAATATTAACTACGAACAAGGCCACAATGTGCTAAACGTATTCGGAAATAATTAAAAACATCTCTACAACACACTAAAACATACACATAATGCACACACTCAATTAAGCCGAAAAATTGAATGATCCTTGATAATGGCTAAAGGTATAGCCG